AATTAATTAATTTCTTATTTTTTTTACCATTATCCTTACAAACAACACCATTAGGTCCATTACGTGTAGGAATACGCGTTTCTTTAATTTGGGGAACATATGCATTTGTCTTTCTATATTAAAACATCTTGTATGACTTTTAGCCTGTCCCTGTAAGCCATTTTTAGCGAATTTTTACGTTATATTGTGTATGTCAGTGATAGGGCAGCCGCAGTTATCGACCGAATTAAGTAGAATGATCAATGTGCCCCTTTAGTATTTAATTCAATCTTCTTGAGGAAAGGACATTTTTTTTTNGATCAATGTGCCCCTTTAGTATTTAATTCATTCTTCTTGAGGAAAGGTCATTTTTTTTTAATTTGTTTCATGTTGAGTCGATAATTATGTTCCGCCTACATTTTCAACGGTCAAACATTGGATTAAAATCATGTAAAAATCGCTCCCCGACGAGGGCTTAGATGTAGCCTGTAGGACACGCAACTTTACTTTTTTCTCTCCTCTGATTTTGATGGTTTAGACAGTGATTAATTTCGTACTTTTCCCCCTCGTTATCCGATCTGTTAACTAAAAATAAATAAAATTTAAGTTAATTCAAGAAAGGCTTGTTATCTAATTGTTTGTTTGTTTATGCATTTTGCTTTAAATTTCAGGTTCTTGAAGGGTTATATCAAGAAAAATGAAAGATTCTAAAAAATTGGCCAAGAGTCTACAACGGAGATGTGGGTCTACAATAGTATAGTGTGCAGTCACAATAAAATTTCTTCTTCTTTTTTTTTTTTGGTTCTTTCCTTGATGTTTTGGAATTTTGTGATGTTTATTAATTTTTTATATTCTTGATTCTGTGATCTAAATCTGCTTTGCTTGTTTTATTATCCTTCTATATGGCTTCAGTTTATTTTACTTAATTTTATGGTTTTATTGTGCTGTGTGCTTTTAGCGTTTCTTGTACGAGTCAGTATGATATTTTGAATAAAATTTGAGATGTATTGTAACAACATAAAAATTCACGTATTTTAGAATTTATTCAAATCCAAAAATGAGAGAAATTAAGGATTTAAATGAATTAGTAAAGGGTTTAATGGATGAAATGTGAATTGTTTGAGGACTCATTGGTCAAGGTTAGAAAGACAGGATGAAGGACCTAAAATTTAGAAATTAAAAGTATTGGGTTACTTCCTGCTATAATTGACAGACAAATTTGACAGACAAATTTGAGACACGATTGCGAATTGTACGTATAGAGTTAGCTTTTGCTTAAAAGTTCATGTCGAGACCTTCTATTGATATCCATATTGAATATTTCCGACTCCAGGAGTAGCCTCAAAGCTCGTGCCAAAGCGGTTCCAAAGTTATGGATTTGTTTAATTTTGGTAGTGTTCAAATTAGGAAATTGAGCAGCCATTTTGGGACGACCATGTGATGAAGGCAAAATAATAATTTCATTTAGTTTCGGATTTGTTC